GTTTAGGGTTTAGGGTCTTCGGGTTGGTCTGCTTCAGCTATTAAAGGAACGGTGCCCTGAGGTCCCAAGCCCGAAGAGGAATCTTCATGAGGAGCCCTTAAATTAAAGGAACCCAAAACTCTACAGCTTGAACCCATGCGCAAGTCCAATCTCGGGGTCCAGGGACATCACGCGCTGTTTTCAATTAAAGTTACTAAAGCCCCAACCCTAAACCCTAAACCCACAACCCTAAACCCTAAACCCAAAACCCAAAACCCCAAACCCCAAACCCTAAACCCTAATCCCATAACCCTAAACCCAAAACCCCAAACCCTAAACCCTAAACCCTAAACCCAAAGCCCCGCAGGAGCTAAGCCCCGTCAACAGGCGCGGAAGCCTGTTGAAACCAGAGGCCAGGTGAAAGGATAAAGGCCTGAATCCTTAAATTAACCATAAACCCTCAACCTTTAACGTGTTGAACCCGAGAATGTTTGGGGTTTTCGGGTTTAGGGGCCCCAAAAGCCCCCAAAACCCTAAACCCGAAACCCGAACCCCTAAACCCTAAACCTGGATCTTAATGGAGGCTTTAGATGCCTGGTGGGACGAACACGGCTGGGCGATATGTCAACTTCTGGAGCCCGAGGCCCTGTTCGAAGCTTTTTTCGTTGGGGGTTTAGGGTCTTTTGGGCTTAGGGTTTAGGGGTTTAGGGTTTAGGGGTTTTGGGTTTAGGGTTTAGGGTTTTGGGGTTTAGGGTTTTGGGGTTTTGCGGCGTTTGGGGGTGTTAGGTTTGTTTGTTTCAGGGTTTGGGGGGGAACTTGTTTGGAGGCTTTCAAGCCGTCGCATGCGCTTGATTCAGTTTTTTATGCCTGAGCCCTACAGGCCTTCAAAGCCGATAGCTCTGTGAACCCGAAATCCAGAGGCGAACCCCGATGATGTCGACACATAGGCCCTAAAGTAGTTCCTTTTTGGGGTTCATATAGAATCCTATAAGGTAGCCCCAGAAAGGAACTAGGCCCTAAAGTAGTTCCTTTTTGGGGTTCATATAGAATCCTATAAGGTAACCCCCAAAAAGGAACTACTCTGGGGCCCATGGGGAGACCTAAACCCTAAACCCAGAAACCCTGATGGGCCGACAGGCCAGTGCGTGCGGAGAGTGCGAGTTGCACATGTCCACTTTAAAAACAAAACCCTAAGCCCCGAAACCCTAAACCCCTAAACCCTAAACCCCGAAACCCTAAACCCTAAACCCCGAAACCCTAAACCCTAAACCCCGAAACCCTATAAGCCCTAAACCCCTAAACCCCCGAACCCCGGTGGAGGTCGAAGTTCTCTTTGGGGAGTGGCTGTGGGCGCGGCACAGCGTTGCCTACACAAAGCTGCCGGCGTGCCATGTCAAGTTATTTTGAAGGGGACCCAGGGATTAGGATTTAGGGTTCAGGGTTTGGGACCCCTCACCCCTACTTTCAAAACCTAGGTCTTAGGATCAACGCAGGAAGCGGCAAATCGCCAACCAGAAGCCCGAATCGAATTGGCCGAGCATCCCCACAACCGACACAGGGTTGAGGTTGCGAAGTTTCAGAAGCTTTGGTCTTTCGATTCGCAGCGCAGGCACACCCTTGACCCCCAAAACCTCTAAGTTCTCCTCGACGATCTTCTTCCTGGAAGGGTGAATCATGATTGCTTGGTCCATTTCTGACTGGAGCAACTTCTCCCTAAGCCCTTAAACCCTTAAACCCTGAACCCCTAAACCCTAAACCCTAAAACCCTAAACCCTAAAACCCTAAACCCTAAACCCCTAAACCCCTAAACCCTAAGCCCAAAAGACCCTAAACCCTAAAACCCTAAACCCTAAAACCCTAAAGCTTTCATTAGGGTTTCTCTGTGAGGGCCGAGGTCAGGCTGGAAGCACCCGGGATTGGGATCTTGCGGACATGAGGTCGGGTTGTAAACGGGCTTTGCCGACGGTATGGAGCGCTCCTGAGATACACTGGTTTAGGGTTTAGGGTTTAGGGTTTAGGGGTGAGTATACAGTTGGGTGTCCGTCTGGGGATTCTGGTACGTGCTTCACATGGACTCTGCTTCTTCCAGAAGCATCGCACGTCCATTGTACTTTGAAGCTCCGAAAGAGCCCCGAAGCTTAGAATGGAAGAGTGGCAGCGAGAAAGTTAAGATCAGAATGTTCTTCCCAGCCGCACGAGCAAGGTTCATCAGAATCAGCAGAGTAGAAGTAGCATGAAGCAGTGTTCAACGTGCATCGTCAGAAGCTTCATCAACATGATACGAAGTGCAATGATGTTGAACCCTAAATCCTAAACCCTAAACCCATCGAAGATCTCGGTCTCTCGACCCAGGTATTTTGTGGCCTTCGACATCTACAACAAGCGGGCAGGCGGCGGGGGGGAGGATGGTCTTGTCCCGCCCCAAACGGTTTCAGCATTGAGCTCAGGGTTGGGGGTGAAGAACTTGGGTATTTGGGTTTCAGTTCGAGGCGTAAGGGTTTGGGGGTCATTACCCCGCAGCAAAAAGTAGAGTTACCACATGTTATGTGCCTTTGAAAGGCCAACCGGGATGAAGAAGCAAGGCTAGCGAGAATCAGAAACGACATGAGAAACGGATGCCATGCTCTGACAGCTGCCCCAATCCCCAACTCTCTCGTATCTTTGCATGTGTACGCAATCGATTTCGATCCTGATGCGGCCATCAGATTGCTTTCAATTTCCCCACAGCCCTTAGACATTGGGAGTAGGAGCTGGGAGTTAGTGCCGGCTTGCTGTGAGGGTGTTTAGGCCGGCTTCCAGTGTTGAAGTTTAGGGCTCCAGTGTTACGAGTTGCTCGTGTTTCCTTCCGCGAGGTCCGTTAATTATGTAGAGGTCCGTTGATTATGTAGTACAGGTTTAGGGTTTAGGGTTTAGGGTTTAGGGTTTAGGGTTTAGGGAACAGCCCCAAGACCCCCCGAGTCGAAAACTTAGGCCGCTTTGTCAGCGTGCGGGAACGAAATCGCCGGCTGGAGGGCTTGGACATCCCGGCTGCTTGGGCAGGAGCAGTAATATAGGGGCCTTAATAATTACCTATGCTATTTTGGGGGTTCCTTATTATAATTATAGTATAGTGGGCCCCGAAACCCTATTCTAATTATCAAGGCCCCTACATTAGCAGACGAGTCGTATTAGAATTAGTAGGCGTCGTCTAGGTAGCTAGCAGCTAGCAGTTGCAGGAGGAGCTTCGGTGGCAGCGTTTGTTGTGTTGCTCTTGCTTAATGCCGAAACCCCGAATCCTAGTTGCAGCCCAAATCCTCATCTCTAAATCCTAAGTCCCCAGAGACTCCAATACTCATGAATTAAGGAATATACCTTAAATCATATTAGGGTTCCTACTATAGTTTGAGGTATATTCCTTAATTAAGGGATATTGGAGTCTCTGGGTCCCAATCCCAAAACAGAAGCTAGGCCCTGCACAGTTTTCGCTGCCTCGGGTTTAGGTGCCATCGTATGGGCCGGGGGAGATCGATTCGTGGCGCTCTGTCCTTGGGTTCATGAAGGAGCACATTGAGCCACAGTTTAGGGCCTAGGCTTCAGGGCCTGGACATAGAAGTCTCTTCCTTCTCCCTCTTCCCGTCTTTACTTACCTATAGTCTCCATTGTAGTTCCTTTTTTTGGTTTAACCAGTTATATATTAAGGATGTATAAGGTATTCCCCAAAAAGAACTACAATGGAGACTATACTTAGACTTAGTCTCGACTTGAAAGGTTGTGCCACACATCGCGCAGCGCACCTTCGCGAGCAAGGAAGCCCTGCAGGCCCGGGTGTACTGTGACTATCGGTGGAGTAAGAAGGTCTGGGGTACAGCGTTTAGGGTTTAGGGCTTTTGGGGTTTAGGGTTTAGGGTTTAGGGCTTTTTGGGTTTAGGGTTAGGGTTTAGGGCTTTTGGGGTTTAGGGTTTAGGGTGGGTTTTGGGGCTTTTGGGCGTTCGGGTTCAGGGACGCTTTGAACTTCAGCTTCGAGCTTTGGCATTTCAACGAATAGATAAGCACATGTCTGTCTTCAGACACGTGTAAAAGATATCTCCTGTGAGAGTACTCCAAGCCTCAGCTACCTCCCACATGTGTGCGACAAGTCCGCTGATCCCCCTAAACCTTAAACCCCAAACCCTATAAACCCTAAACTGTGTTTTTCGCGTGACTCGGTTGGTTGTTGAGGGTGTCGAGAGCATCTCGGATTAGGGCTTCTCCGAGTTTCAGTTTTGCAGTGTTTGAGGGTCTAGCGGTTTAGGGTTTAGTGTTTGGTGTTTAGGGTTTTAGGGTTTAAGGTTTTAGGGTTTAGGGTTTTGGGGTTTAGGGTTTAGGGTTTAGGGGTCTAGCCCAGTAGGGCGCCCTTGTAGGCCGTACAGGGTTGGGGGTTTGCGGAGCTTGAGTTTCAAAACTTGGGGTATAGGGTTTAGAGGGTTTGGGTTCTTGTGGGGTTTACATGCTGCAGCAGTTGCAGGATTGATGCTAAGAGGCTGATCATAACCCCTTGGTTTCGTGGATTTGCGCCCCCGAAAGCTTTAAACCCCAAACATAGACACAGGAATTAGAGCTTCGGTTTTGCAGGGACCAGGGCCCCTCCAGAGTTCATGACACTTTCAGGTCCACGATTCCCGGTTCACAAGGATCCTGGGACAATGCTGCAGGGACGAGGGTTAGATGAGCTTGCAGGCTAGCAGTGCAGCGGTTTTCTGTAGCAGCCACGAAACCCTAAACCCTAAACCGATGTCGAGGCAAGTTTCAGCTCAACCTAGCTTAGCCTGATTCCACAGCAAAGTCGCACAGGACCCAGAACCGCACAACTGCTCTAAACCGCGAGAGAATCCTTCAACCACTAGCACCACGATAGCAGCGACGACAGTGATGGTCTGGACATTGCTACTACAGTACTCAGTAAGGCTTCGCAACGACAAAAGTAGCAGTGATGATAGAGACAACGAATACGCGTGATCCCGATGTCAACAGGAAACTTCAAAGTACTAACCAGAGCTGTCGTAGCCAGAGCAACTGTAGAAGTGACACAATGATCGGCCCCCTTATCCTAAACCCTGTGCCGCTAAGATCCTGAACTCTCAAGCCTAAATAAAAAATCTCTAAGCCCTATGTTCTGCTCTTAATCATGATAATGGAAACGAGATAATGATACTGATGATGGCGGTACTGATGATACCCCTACTCAATACGTATACCTAATGTTGCTAACAATACCAATAATCACTAACATTGATGCGAATGCGAATGAAATGCAAAATGCGGACTGCTAAATACGAAATACCAAGCACTAAATACTACTAAATGTTAATGGGTATGCTACAACTAATACTGCTAGTGATAACGGTATGTCATGTCTAATGGTAATACCTCATGACAGTTTTAGTAGTGCCAATAATAGTGATAGTAATAATTTTGGTAATAGTCATAAAACAGAGTATCACTGACTAAGAATGGTAAAAATTACCACCAATAGTCATAACACTAAAGACTCGCAAGCAGAATCTGTGCCAGGCCTTCCTTGAGCAAGGCTCTGCCTTCTCGGACGGCCCGCTGGAGGGTGTCTACTTGCGCATAGTCGCCGGTCTGGATTCAGGGTCGGTTTAGGGTGTAGGCGATTTAAAGGGTTCTTTAGAGTTCACAGAGTTTCGGTCCTCCATCCTATGCTCTCGCCCTGAACCTTAAACTTGGGATTGTGATCAAGGGTCTGCGGCCGAAGCTGAGGCTTAAGCTGGGTTTAGGGTTTAGGGTTTAGATGTTTCCTTATATAAAGCTAAGTTTAGGACCCGGGTTCTGGGAGATCAGTGGGAGTGGAAGATATTTGGACTCCGGCTGGCTTAGTATAGGTGGGAGGAATACCGAAACCTTAAACCGTGTAAGGTTTACCTATAGTCTCCATTGTAGTTCCTTTTGGGGGATACCTTATAAAATCCTTAATATATAATTGGCTACACCCAAAAGAGGAACTACAATGGAGACTATAGGTAACCCTAAACCCTAAACCCTAAACCTATAGGGTGCTTGAACGTGGCGTTTCCAAGGACGATCCTGTCGAGGAGCGAGGTGGTCTCTGGCATCAGCGGCGAGGGAAGACTCCTGCCTGCATAGCATCGGAAGCCAGTATGCTGCCTACTTAAAGGATCGTGGGACTTAGTAAGTAGGGTTATAACAAAGGTAACTATACTTATAACCCCAATTAGGGGACTTATAACTTTACTTACTAAGTCCCATGATCCTCCAAGTAAGAGAAATTACGACACCCCAAACCCTGAAAGCCCGACAGGCGCCCCGAAGATGTTCGACAAATTCACCTTGTCAGGCCGCAGAGTGCTTCGGTATCACCTAGGGGTTTAGGGGTTTAGGGTTTAGGTTTCAGGGCTTAGGGTTTAGGGTTTAGGGTTTAGGGGGGACCCTTGGGGATATAGACCCTCTCAATAAGGTCCCTCTTAAGAGAGCCAAAAGTAGGGTTCAGAAGGGGTACCCTTTAAGTCAAGCCGTATGGGTCACGGTCCAAAACTCGACAGCACGTTTCTGGGCCTGTCGGGGGTTACCGGCTGCGGCTGCAGAATGCACATTTCTGATACCGTGCTGGCAGGTTGATGGGCACCATAACAGGTATGCTATCCAGCCTTTTGCTCGAATGGGTGCGCAGCTTCTTTGAAGTTGGCTCGGCATGGTCGTTGTAGGGGCAGGAAAGTGCTTCGAAGCCGTAGTCATGCAAATCTTTACTAGTCACGACATGACAGCATGGCCACCAGTGCAAATCGAGCATTGTGAAGAAAAGCTGGGCAGTTTGTGGAGCACATGATGGCGGACCCACTCACACCTGGGCTGCTCGACAGCCCAACGTCCTTGCAACCAGAGGGAGTGGCAGAGCAGGCTGGCACGGGTGAAGATCGTAGGGAGCATGCAGTTTCCAATCGCTCTGTGTGCAGGAGGAGCAGGCTCGCACGCTGAATGCTACTCTTCCGCCTTCCCTGGAGTTGGACGACCGGTCGTTCAGAGAGCCGGTTTGCCACCGGCACACAGCAGCGGACAGCGGCGGGATGTGGAACTATTTTTCATCCTTACTCGGCACTAGCCAGAAGGACCTGGAGAATAAGCTCAAGGACCTGGAGAATAAGCTCAATGAGAGGATACATCAGAAAGTAACACTGCTGGAGACAAGTCTACACGGCCTTTCTGTGCAATGCTCTGTTCAATCAGACCCTCGGCAAAGGTGGTAGTTTGAACTTGTACGTTTGTGGCTGAGGGCTCAAGGCTTAGTTTGCACGCCAGACCTGTTTGCACCGAGGATAGAATAAACAACTTGGAGACGCGACTGCAACATGCGACAGAAGAGCTGCGGGCAATGATGGAGTCGCGCCTCACATCTCATCAAAATCGATCAGATCGAGAGTTGCGAGATGTGAAGCGCAGTCTCGACTCCGTGCTTGTCCCCGACGAGATGTTGACGAAGCTCGGTGCTCGCTTGAAGCAGGATCTGGACGTAGAAGTGTCACGGCTGAGGCATCGGTGTCTTTCACAGCACTGGGACCCCCAATATGGGTGAGGTAGCATTCCGAAGAGCGGGCTCGTACTATCATGTTTCATGGTTCAGGTCTCACCTGGCGGCTTTGGAAGCACACCTCGCGAAGGTGGTACCAACCTGGACATTTTCTGGCTCCGCCGGCACAGAAGATGTGGGTTACTGTGGGAAGGACCTGCCTCCGCAGCAGCACGGTGAGACTTGGCGCCTAGCGGTTGACTCTTCGAGGCTAGGGGGGAATCGGGTGTGCTTTGGGCAGTGCCGCGCGGCATATCAACTGTAGCTGGTCAGGCTTGCTGCCGCGTGCCCCGTCGACAACGACAATGGCGGTATGGGTGCCTCGTCGGGCAGCGTAGCAACATCGCCACCATCGTTGACATCAGCGCTATCGTGTTGGACACCATCTCCATCATCACTGGTTATCACTAGCGTCATCCTGTTCCTGATCGTTTTCATCATGCCCGTTTCCAGTCAATACGCCGCAATGTTTTCCGTCGCATCGCTATTATAGTCCTCACGACCTTCGTTCCTGATCCACGGCTGTCTAGTTAATGTAATGTTGAGTGTGGTACTTCTGCTTTTGACATGTTGACATGACATGTAGTGGCCTGCAATGCTTGGTGACTCTTTTACTGTAGCTTCAGCCGCTTGCTGAAACCAATTCCAGGCGAGACCAGCGCGCTTCGTGTTGAGCCTTTTGCCGATGTTCCTGCCACTTCCGGGCAGTATTCCGTAGACCGGACAAGGCACGATGAACACTCCTGCGGCCTCTCCCGGTTTGGTGTAATGTAGGGGCCTTAATAATTACCTATACTATTTTGGGGTTTCCTTACTATTATAGCATAATATACCCCAAAACCTTATTCTAATTACTAAGGCCCCTACAGTACAACTGCCCGTGTGCCTGGTTGAAACTGTTCAGGCAGAGTTCTGCTGGAGCTTGGCCGACGACTGTCTTTCCAGGCGGCTTCCTCCTACTTCCTACTTGATGCTTAGACCATCTCTTGAAAGACATTGCTGGTAGACTGAGATGACAGCATCAACAGCATTCGGTGTAGGATTTTCTCGGGTATCAATGACATGCGGCCATGGTAGAAACATGATTTTGGAGCATCCAATTGCCTGCCAGCTGCAGTTGTCCCAGATAAGCCCGAAGCCGCACAAAAGCCATGAACGCATTGTGCTTCAATACAAGATTTCCGGTGCCATCGGGGGTTGGTCAAGGGTTGATTCTGGTTTCTGAACATTTACAGCTCACAGAATGAGTCCGTCCTCAACGCCTTGGAAATGGAAGCTCTGCATGCATTGTGCCCGAAACTCCAAGCCGCAAGGATGTCTGAAACGCTAAACCCTAAAACCTAAACCCTAAACCCTAAACCGCGAATCCTGTCTGAAGATCCATCTTCGGCAGCGCTGGGCTCTTCGCTGCATGCTGATAGTGGGAACAGGCCTGTTGTTTCGGATGTTGTGGTTCCAGGCGCACCAGGGTGCCGACTGAAATCTATTTAAATAGTCCGTGTCATATTGCGAGGTTTGTGCTGATGTTTTCATTTTTGAGGACATATTGAGGTGATAGCACCGGTCAGAAGTTCTTTGGTCCAGGTAAGATGCAGCTACAATAAGGGGTGCTGGATTGAAGGTGCCGGGTTCAGACGGTTGATTCATCTAGTGATCTATGGTACGCAAAGCACTTTAGTCAGTCGTCGTTTTGTGTGTTTGTATTGTCCTTGTTTCGTGTGGTGTATGGAACGCAGCGACAGATGATTTGTACTATGTGTGGGCCATCTTTGCTACCAAGTTGATGGTTGATTGGCTGTGGTCGCCATAAAAAAAGTATTGTTCATCCTCGTACTTTGCGGTATTGCACCTCTTGTCTGCTACTATACTGTGCCTGTTAGAGTCTGTTAGAGCAGCAACATGGGCTGTGCCGCTGGAGTTAGTTTACATATGGGGGTTTCCGAAAATAGGGGACCCTAATATAGTACCCTAAATAATAGGATCCTTAATATAAGGACCCCAAATAGGGTACCCTAATTTTCGGAAACTCCCATATCGGTTGTTGTCGTCTCTTCGGCTTTGGGGTCTCGGAGCCCGGCAGATCTGAACCTGCTTCGCGCATTTTCCAGGCCGGTGTTGGCCAGCAGAATGCCGCCTGTGGAGAGCCATGGCGAGATCTTCACCAATCCACCTCATCCTGCCGATCTAGAGTCCAGGACACTAGGGCCACTAGGGTTTGAGTTCCACGATTTGTGGTTGATGGTTCAGGGCCGGAGGATGTGGGGTGCGAGACTGGAGGAGTAGATCAGGTTATGTTTCGACTCTGTAGTCCTTGAAAACTTCAAGCTTCCGGGATTTCAGCTGCATTGTCTGCGAGCTTCGTCGGCCGTCTTGCTTTGCTGAACTTGTTCTCTTCAATTCTCTTCAATGGCTGCAGGCAGCTCTCTTGCAACTTTCGAGTTCTGTGGGTTTTGCCTGTGTTCATGCCGCTCTAAGATAGCAGTAGTTGTACCAGTAGTACAGTAGTAGTAGTAGTAG